ATGGTGATATAAATATTACTCTTTAATAGTGTAACGAGGTAAATTAAATCCAGTTTAATTTCATATAAATGAATTTCCTGGGGCAGCAGGCTTTGGCAATTCTGTTTTTTTGGTTGGTTTTTTTTTTCCATTTTAAGCGAGCGCATTCAGAGACACACAGCAGCTGGTGCCCCCAGCCCAGGCTGGTCCTGCAGGTGGGCAACGTCCTGGTGTCTTGGGCTGGCAGGTTGTGGTTTTTTTTTTCCATTTTAAGCGAGCGCATTCAGAGACACACAGCAGCTGGTGCCCCCAGCCCAGGCTGGTCCTGCAGGTGGGCAACGTCCTGGTGTCTTGGGCTGGCAGGTTGTGCTGCCATCAAGAAAAAGCATTTCTGTAACATACAAGAGCCACTTGCTTTTCAAAGCGATGCAATATGTGTCTAGTAAGGGGGAAAAAAAAAAAAAAAAGGCGTATTTAAATCCCAAAGGCTGAATGCAAAGATGCTTTGGCAGAGGTTCAGCAAACCCATTTAGGCCACTATTATCTCTTTAGGCGTCTGCTTTCCCACTGGAGTCACGGGGAAGTCAGGAGCCCGAGTCCTTCGGTGAACCTGAGACTTGTGTTGATTCCTGCCCTCTTAGCAAATTGTGCTGGAGGGAAGAAGGGTGCTGACTTCAGTGGGTTGGTGTTTCTAAAACGTAATCCTCTGCTGGTTTAACTCATTGCAGTCTGCCTGTTGGCTTTTGGGGTTTTTTAAGTAGAATTTTATTTTTTATTTTTTTTTAAACCCAGACTTTCAGAGGCTCTCAAGCGCAGCTGGTGTGTGCTCCTCTGGTGATTAGAATAACCTCAAGTCAGTGGGGCATGGGGGACCAGCTCTGCATGGCCGTGCTGGTCAGAGGAGGGGGGAAGGAGGATGAGGGTTGTCACCCTACCCTCCTGCCACCCAAAAGTCCCCTCTGCAGGGACAGTGCTGGGGTTGTAGCCCAGCCTGGGAGCTGGCAAGGAGGGTTGTTGCAAAGAAACTACTGCAGGGGCAGCCAGGCATTTACAGGCATTTACCTGCTGGTCCTGGTGGCTGAGGAGGAGAAGAGATGACAGCAAAAACAGACCTTCTCCTTTGCTCTTCTTCTTTCATCCAGGGAAAAACAGAGCTGCCTTCTCTGAAAGGCCAAAGCTGCTTCTGCAAATTGATGCTAATGATAAATTTGCCATCGCTTTGGTGCCCGGCTCCAGGCCTGCCCTTACATCATTATTCACTTTACAGCAATTTTTAATTCTCTAAAGCACTGATGGGTTTAGCTATTAACACCTGACTTAGAGGCTTAAAACTCTCTTCAGATGTCAGCTGTGCAGACACATGACTTATGAAATAAGCCACTGTACTTGCATAAACATTTCGACTCCCCCGGCCCCCGAGGCCAGAGCAGCACATTGATAATGCAGATTATGTGTCTGACTGATACCTGTGCAGCACATACACAGGCTGGCAGGGGAACACCGAACACAAGGCCCAGGGAAACACCTCTCTCTGCTTTCTGGCAGCCAAAATTGATCCTATTTTATGCCAGTAATTTTTAAGCAGCTTATGCTGCTGTGAACTGAGCGGTGCGGGCTGGTCCCTGTGCCAGCACAGGAGTCCCATGGGCACCCACTGCAGCAACTGCTGCCTTCATTTTCTTGTTCCTTTTTAAGGAATAGTCATAGAATTGTTTGGATGGGAAGGGACCTTAAAGACCCCCAAGTGCCACCCACTGCCCTGGGCAGGGACACCTCCCACCAGCCCAGGTTGCTCCAAGCCCCCTCCAACCTGCCCTTGAACCCCTCCAGGGATGGGGCAGCCACAGCTTCTCTGGCCAACCTGGGCCAGGCTCTCACCACCCTCACACCAAACAAGTTCTTCCCCACAGCTCAGCTCCATCTCCCCTCTTGCAGGGTCAAACCCTTCCCCCTCCTCCTAGGGCTCCCCTCCCTCATCCAGAGTCCCTCCCCATCTCTCCTGGAGCCCCTTGAGGGACTGGAAGGGGCTCCAAGGTCTCCCCGGAGCCTTCTCTTCTCCAGGCTGAGAAAAATCACTTATGGAAGGAGGGAATGAGGATAGGGAGCAAATACTTATTAAATACAAACCTGTGATGTTTTTTCCTTTTTGAAGGAATCCCTAAGGAGATGCTAAGCTTTGCCATTGTGTCACAGCTCAGGAACAGGAGAGAGCTCTCAGGGTGGTGCTGGGGGTGCCCAGGGTTCCCCCTGGGGAGGAAGGGGGCTGCAGAGGGATGCTCCCAGCACCGGGGCAAGGCATCCAGGACTGGTGCTGCAGCTTGGCCAGAGGCTGGGGGGGTTTCTGGGGCTGTGTTTGGGACGGGGGGAGCAGGGATGCATGCCCCTCGCTCCCTGCCATCTGTGCCCGCCCGGCAGCAAACCCCAGGGGGATTGCAGGGGGGGTTGTGCTCAGCTCTTGGTTTTCCCTCGTCTGGGCTGCTCTTTCTTGGGTTCCTTTTGTTTGTTTTTTCGCTGTTGAGACACAGAGGTGTTTCCCGAGGAGCTCCCCCAGCCCCTGCTGCACCACGACTCCCCTCGGCTCCCGCCTGGAGTTCAGCCTCCCAGAGGCATTTCCAAATATAAACTGTTTTTAAATGTCCTGGAAGCCTCAAAAGAGCAGAGTCTTTCATTAGCCCAGCTTTCTCTGGCGTGCAGGGGGGCGGGCAGCGCCGGGGATGTTTGGGGTTGGTTGTTTTTTTTTTTTTTTTAATTATTATTATTTTGGAGGGGGGTTTTGGGGGGGAAGGAGTGCTTTTCCCTGCTGTCTTTGCAGGGCTGGCAGGCGGTTAATCCTTGCCCTTGGTGTGTGTGCCATGGCTGCTGGCACGGAGGGCTCCCTGCGCTGCAGTCACATGCCTGCTGGCCACCCGCCAGGGCGAGCTGATGGAGGAAACACTATCAGTTGCAGATGCAGCCAGGGTTACCAGAATAGTAAATAACGAATCACAAGACCCGGTCTATCTTTTCAACGAAAACAAATATTTTAATATGTTGGGGTTTGGTATGGAGGTAGTTTCTTCTTTTCTTTTTTTTTTTTTTATTTTTTATTTCAAAACAGCCGAGCTGCGGGAGGTTTGGCTTGGGGTTAGTTTGCATAGGAAGGAGAAATAAGCTGTATTTTATGTGAAGTTGTTGGATTTATCTTCAGCTTCTCGGGTCAGCTGTGGGGGGAAATTTTGATACTTGTTTTGAGCTTTAAAACTCATCGAGCTTTGACGTCCCTGGACTTGGGGTTTCTCCCTTTCTTTGGGCCCCTTCCCCTTCACCATCCCCCCCAGTTAATGGGCTGTGAACAGAAACGTCCCCTTAATGATCCCACCCCTTGTCCCAGCTCCCTACAGCCGAGTGTCCCAGTGTCCCAGGACTGCTGTGCTGCTGGAGACCCTCTGGGTCCCCCCACGGTGCTGGGGTCCCCCCATGGCTGCCCCACTGCCATCTGACCATGTCCAGGTCTGGAAGGACTCCCCTTTCCTCCCAGGACAGGGCCAGCAGCAGAGGGTTAATGTGGAGCAGCTCAGAGGCTGCTCTGCACTGACCCAGCAAACAGCCACCCCTCCCCGTGGGGCTGGGAATGGGATTTTTCCCCCCTCCTCCTTCTCCAGCCCCATCGACTGGTTTCTGGCTTCCCCATTGTGCCCGTGGCAGTGGAGTTGGCTGCACATCTCCCCTTTGGGGAAGACGGGGTTGATTTTTGGGCTGTCGTGAACACGCAGGATGGATTATTTATTGAAAATTGGTAGGAAAAAATAAGGCAGAAAACGCCACTGTCCCCCTCACCCCCTTTTCTTCCTGGGCAGTCCCGGGGCACGGTCACCTTTGCTGCCCTTTGGGGAGCTGCTCTGCTCTTGTGGCGTTCCAGCTGCTTTCTTCTCTGCCAAATTACCCGGGAATAATTCCTTCCTGCCCCGAGCACCCCTGGGTTTGGGTGCTGTTGGGTGCTGTTGGGTGCTGTCGGGTGCTGCTCTCTCTGGCTGCCTCAGGAGTTTCACTTTAAACACTGAACCAGGGACGGTTTGGCAGCTGCTGCTGGAGCGTGTTTCCCTGCGCAGCCCTGGCCTCCCTGCTGGAAGTGACTGTAAATTTTCAGACCCAACATCTCCAGAGAAGACTTTTCTACATCAGGGGAGGTACTAGGGATAATGGGATAATGTAAATCTTTCTCCTCTGAACCAAAAATATCTCTTCTAGAGAGAGTCGTGCGTTAGGTGGGGAGAAACCTGAATTGATCAGTCGTTTCCTTTGTTGTTTTGGGTTTTTCCAGACTGTGATGAAAATACACGTCCCCGTTGTGTCATGATGCAGGCATTGTACTTAAAACACAACTATAATTTGGTTTAGATTTTAGAGAAGCTTAACAGTAATTTGAGGGGGTTTGAGCTGGTGTTTTACTGCAAAGTTTTAATCCTACACTTACTGTCCTCTCTAAAGTTAAAAACAAGATGTGGGGAGACACGTAATCCTTCAAGCTGTGGGGTGACTTTGACTCTCATATGCTGTGTTTAAAGCTGAAGCAGTGACCTGATCCCCTGCTCTATAAACCCCCACTTTGGTGGGTTTGACCTGGAGACACACCAAGTTTTTTAAAGCAAGGAGGAAGTTAAGGTATTTTTATAAGTCAGATATGCAGAAACTTGCCCCAAGCAGAACTCTGGAGGTTTTGAATGAACTGGAGAGAGGGCAGGGAGAGAACAACAACAAAAATTCATTCATTTCTTCTCCATTGGGAACAGGGCAGCTCTTGACTTCTGCCAGTGAATGTTCCTGGGGTTGGGATGAGCTCAGGTGGATGTGTGAAGAACCGTCACCCGTGGAAGGGTGAATTCAGACTGTTTAACAAACAGCACGGTTTGGGCAATGAGTGATGAGAGAAATTGTGGTTCTGATCGAAATGACAGCTGGGACTGAATGTTGCAGTAAAGTCTTTCAACAGGGATCTCTGGTTATTTTACTTAGTATTCTGGATTTGGTTTTTTTTGTTCTAGAACGACCATTTGCAATCTGTACACGATGCCGCGGATCGGGGAGCCCGTCTGGCTGACCATGATGTCGGGGACACCCGAAAAGAACCAGCTCTGCCATCGCTTCATGAAGGAATTCACTTTCTTGATGGAAAACGCTTCTAAGAACCAGTACGGTGGCTTTGAGTTCTTAAATTCCAGATGCGTTCGTGCTGTTGTATTTCAAACCGCTTTTTGAATCTGTTTTTAAAATCCTGGTAATCAAATAATCAGAAGACCGTACGTGAATATCTTTTTTTTTAAAACCAAAAAGAAATAAGAAAGTATCTTATTAAATGCCTGCTTCCCCACGATCCTGCAGATCTGGGTAGAGGCTAAACATGTGAAACGTGTCCGTAGGAAGCGCGTGATGGGGGTGTGTGTGTCTGGAAGGGGGTGAACAGACCGTATGAAACACACGAAGCTGCCTCTCGGGCTGAGTTGTGGTGCTGGGCGAGGAACCAGCCCTCTCTGTAACACCCTCTGACCACTAATTGCTCTGCAACTTGACTTCTGGAAAATGCCACTAAAGAAATCGTTTGCTTTATTAGTTCTCACCTTCCTGCCCCCGGGACACGGCCGTGAGCAGTTGCTAAAAATTGAGAAAGAGAAGAATGTTCTTGATAAAACGGGGAGAATCTGATAAATTTACTCTTTTGTCAACACTCCATCCTCTTTCCCCAGGGCATGAACGGGGGAAGTTTTTCAGGCGTTTGGCTCCATTGAAGTCTTAAAACGAGCACAAACATGTGAAGTTTGAATGGGAATGGCACAGGGAGACCAGCTGTTGGCTCCAGGGCTGCTGCTCGCCGTCTCCCAGCTCTACCACCAACTTTGTCACCTTCTCCTGCCCCCAGACAGCGGGGTGACAATTCGTGGTCAGCGTGGTCCCCCCTCTCCTGCCTCACTGCCATGGGAGAATCCACAGGGAGTTGTCAGGGATTCAAATATATTTTCTTAAAAGCAGTTCCCGCTGCCCAGAAGCTTTTCCCTGGGATTGGCCCCTTTGGTCCCGGCCGTTCTGAGCCCTAAACATCTCGGTGACATTTAAATGGTCATTTGTTTGGGTTTGTTTCCTTGCTTTATTTTAAATACAGTAAGATTCACACTGATGGAAGCAAGAGGAAGATCAAACCCCGTATTCTTTTCGATCCAGTTTGAAATCTCCTTTCCTCCTATAGCTGTCTCCTGCGAGGAAATGGGGCTGAATGTAAAGCCCAGGGTTCCTGATGCTTGTAAACTGTTCAAATAGCGTTATTTTGAGGCTCAATGGTGTTTGAGTCTTTTCCTCCCCGGGCCCTGAGCCTCCAGCACCATCTGTTGGCGTGTGAGCGGCTCGGGCTGTGCCTCCCCTCCAGGGAGCAGCAACCACACTCCAGCCTTACAGTAAATCACATCATTTAAATGTTTCAGAAAGATTTTTTTATTTTTTTAATTTTTTTTTTTTTCCCATACTTGCTTCTCGAGTGAAAACTGATTTTTTTATTTTTTTAATTTTTTTTTTTTTCCATACTTGCTTCTCGAGCAAAAACTCTTTTGCCAGTGTAAGGACACAGCCTTTCTGGCTGAGCTACAGAACTTCGGAGGGGAGGGTGTATTTTTGAAAAGGAGCAGCCAAATATGCTGAAGTTGCTGAACAGTTCTATGAAAGAACACAGCAACTAACTATTTTACAGGCTTGGTAGCAACAGGCTTCCTTTTCGTCAGCAGTCACAGATCTTAAGGGGTTGGGGTCTCCTCCTTGGAGTACAGAGACCACACGTTGTGACTGGTCTCTTGCAGTGAGCAAAGTGAGTTGGTTTTGAGGTGTTTTACAACACGGAGCTTGCAAAATAGGAAGTCTCCTAATTCTTGCCAAAGAGGAACCGAGATGCCACAAGTTTATTTCATTTTCCTTTAAATGTGTGTTATAAAAAAAAAAGCTTTGCAGGGGTGGGAGGGAGGTTCCAGCCTTCCCTTCCCTCCCCAAAGAACCGGGACTGAAAGGATGATCTCTGCTGACTTTGGTTGGTTGTTCCTGCAGTCCCTGATCCGAACAGACCATGGAACTGCTGTCAGTTGGACATCCTGAGCGTGTGCCTGGAAAAACCCAATGTTGACTGTTTTGCTTTCAGGTTTTTACCAGCTTTACTGACGGCGGTGCTGACCAACCACTTGGCCTGGGTGCCCACCGTCATGCCCAACGGCCAGCCCCCCATACGCATCTTCCTGGAGAAGCATTCTTCCCAGAGCGTGGACATGTTGGCCAAGACTCATCCCTACAACCCTCTGTGGGCTCAGCTCGGTACGTGGCAAACACCTCGAAACCCTCCAGCAGCTCTATGTGCGCAGTGGTTTTTATGGATGCTTGTTACTTCCCCCCCAGATTAATTTTTTTTTTTTTAAACTCAAAACAAAAGTGTGTATTTCAAACTTAGAGGTGGTCGCTGTATTTTTTTCACATGTGCTGTAATTTCTTAAGGCATTATCAATTATAAAATGGCAGCCAAACAGTAAAGCCCTCTTCAGTCATCTATGGCAGGTCTCTTAAGGTCACCTGCCCTGGCGATGGTGGAGGATTGCAGTCCTCCTCTGCTCTTCCCTCTGCAAGGAAAATCAGTGTTTATTTTTTGGGATGCTGCAATCACTAAGCCTGGGTCTGGAAAGAGCAAATCAAGGAAATCCACCTTTTGATAAGAAATGACCATACTCTCAATAGAAGAGGCAAAGGAATGACAGGAAACCATGACGAGGAGACCCCCTGGGGAAGGTCTCAAAGCCCAGTCCATTGGGTAGCGAGTCACCCTGGCTTCTGGTTGCCGAGTGGAGAGGAGGAGATGAGCTTCCACTCTGGTCAGACCGTCCTGCTCTGCAGACAGACTCATGGAATGGAAAGGAGAGTTTTGTGGGGTTGCCCTGTTGTGGAACAGGCAGCAATGGCCAGGGGCTTGGCATGAAGACTTGATTTCAGAGCTCATGGGACTCCAGGGACCCACTGGGGTGAGGTTGGCCACATGCACAGGAGCTTCCTCAGGTGAATCTGGAATTCAGTCAGAATAACCCCCCAACCCATCGTAGAGCTCCAGGGGAGGGCAGAGAGGAAGGTTGGTGTCACCGTGCACCCGCCACTGTCCCTTTTTGCCCTCGTTCTTGGCGTAGGTTTGTTTGTCCTCAAAGCTTCCTCTCGGTGGGTGAAAGTTCAGCCCAGTTTCCAGACTATCCCGGGTAATTCAGAGTAGATGCCTCCCCTCTCCCGTGGCTATATAAGGAACCTGGAGAAGAGCCTCTGTGAAGTTTGGTGGTGTGAATGCTCCCTCATACGTGAGATCAGATGTCCCCCTGACCAGCGTGTCACCTTACAGCCGATACCAGCAGCATCTTTGGGATTCTCTTTATTGAAAATAAAATACCGGCGTAGCTGTCCTCACGCTTCTGCTGGAGTGTTTTTCCATTGTAGACCAGGCCTTTGAAAAAGGGCCACAACAATTGTCTGTTGGAAGAACAGTTTGTTTTAAAGATGGAAACTAATTGGCTGTTTTGTTTCCCGTTCTAGGTGACCTGTACGGGGCTATCGGATCACCCGTGAGACTGGCGAAGACAGTTGTGGTGGGCAAAAGGCATGACCTGGTACAGAGACTGCTTTATTTCCTTACCTACTTCATCAGATGCTCTGAGCTCCAAGAGACTCATCTCCTAGAGAACGGGGAAGATGAAGCCATCGTCATGCCCGGGACTGTGATCACCACCACCCTGGAGAAGGGGGAGGTGGAAGAATCAGAGTACGTGCTTGTCACGATGCACAAGAACAGGGGCAACCTGCTGCCCACCGAGTCTGAGGACACGAGAACTCCCAACTGCAGCTGTAAATACTGCAAATGTCCCGTTTCCCTTGCGCAGAACATCGAAGGTGTGTCACAGCAGGAGAGGGAAGACGCTCAAAACACCCCTAAGGTGGAGCTGGAAACGTCTTCGGATGAGAACAGAACTATTGTTCCTGAGGAGTGCCAGGAAGATGCTGCTGAGGTGAAGCAGGCGAGACCCTGCCTGGAGACGCCGCTGGAGACGGTGGTGTGCGCGGGCTCGGCCTCGCCGGAGAGACGAGCGGTGCCGGAGTCTGCTCTGGAGCCCACGGCAAACGCCTGGAGGAACGAGGAGTCGCTGGAATCGGGCAGCCCGGCGGTGGGGGTGACGAGGTCCCCCGGCATCGCTGTGGAGAAGAAGCCTCCAGACAAGCTCTTCTGCGAGGCCTTCCCTTGCGGCACCGCCGAGGCGCAGACGAAGGTGACTTTCCTCATCGGAGACTCCATGTCACCCGACTCGGACATCGAGCTCCGGAGTCAGGCAGTGGTGGAACAAATCACCAGGCATCACAGCCCGCCGGCCACGCAGGAGGGAGCGCCTGCTGACCCCAACTGTGAAGCCAAACAAAACGTCGAGGACCAAAATAGAGCCTGCGGGACAGCTGACCCCTTCCCTCCGGTCCCTCCTCAGCATCAGAGCTGGAACCCAAACCCCTACACGGCCGAGAGCATGAGTCTGTTTGATGAGTATTTTACTGATGACAGCTCAATTGAAACCCGGACTATTGACGATATTCCAGGGCAGGCAGCGACAGACCTCCTTGCTCACAACAGTAGTTTAGAGTTTTCTAAAAAGCTGTGTACAAAGACTGGCAAAGCACCTAGCGAGTTTTGTAAATTTATGGACTCTGTTCGACAAGAGACCTACAAAAACTGCTTTAATGAGCAGGACCAAAGAGAGAGCATCTCTATCCGCGTCCCCCATGGGGACAGAGAAAACGTAGAGAAAAAAGTCGCCCCGGGAATTGATTGGGACATTCCAAGAAATGAGAGTTCAGACAGTGCCCTGGGTGACAGCGAAAGTGAGGACACGGGTCATGATCTGACCAGACCAGGCGGGAACTATTACGGAGGAGAGCAGGAGGACTGGGCAGAAGAATACGAGATTCCTTTCCCTGGGTAAGTTCTCTCCGGCAGCAGGAGAGCCTAAAAAAGACAGAGCGTCTTCTCATGTCACATGTTGGGAGGAATGTAGCCCAACTTGGCATCAGCCGTTGGAAAAGTGTCTCCTGAGCTTGGTGCTTGTAAAAGAATATAGAGAGATCAGGGGTCTGGAAAAAAATATTCATTGTGCATCGAGAATCTTGGCTCGTGTCCTTTTCTTCCACTCCAAAGTTGACTTTAAACTCTTTTCTTTTTTAAAAGTGCTTGAATGAAAGTTAGGAGAGAGATGAGAAATGTGAGAGTGCAGCCTCTCTCTAAGCTGAATTTGGTGTTTACTCTTGTACGTCTCTTGGCTGTGCCTTTCCTGCAGGTCAAAGTTAGTTGAAGTGAACTCTGTCCAGCCCAGTATCGCCAATTTTGGAAGATCCTTACTGGGTGGCTACTGCTCCTCCTATGTCCCCGACTTCGTTTTGCAAGGAATAGGAAGTGATGAGAAGCTGAGGCACTGTTTGGTGTCGGATTTGTCTCATGCTGTGCAGGTAATTAAGCTATATTTGGTAAATTTATTTGTCACAGTAGGGAAGGGCAAATGTTTTTGAATGTACAAACCTGCGGGAAGTGGAAATATTTACTGTCGCAGCTCTCTCTAGGTTTCTCCAGTCCCAGGTCACCAATTTTTTTTCTTTTCTTTTCTCTCAATTAATGTATCTGAAAAAACGAGATTATTTCACTGCAAATCTAGTCCCCTCTCCAGCAGTTCCCTGTCCTTCTGGAACTGGGGAGCCCAGAACTGGTCCCAGTGCTCCAGCTGGGGCCTCCCCAGGGCAGAGCAGAGGGGCAGGATGACCTCCCTCCACCTGCTGCTCACACTCTTCCTGATGCCCCCCAGGATGCCATTGGCCTTCTTGGCCACAAGGGCCCATTGCTGGCTCATGGAGGTCAGCAGACAACTTCAATTGCCTGAAGTCAAAAATTGAGAGGATACAAAAGGAGGGAGCAAGACTTTATATCCTTATTTTCGAGTGAAATAGTAACTGCAGCCCAGTCCTGTGTGAAGTCCCTGTGGGACTCTTTGGAAAGAGGTGGTTCCGAACAGTCCAGTCCAAAAAATGTATCGGGGAAGGACTATGGGGGGTCCAAATACTCCCCTTTTTCACATCTCCATGGCTTTGGGCAGGAGCGAGGAGCCAGGCGCAGGCTTGGTGCCTGACTCCCTCTGCTGGGCCCTCCAGTGCAGGGAAACCAGTCACAACTGGGAATGAACCCGTTAACACCCAGCCATGCTGGAAGTTGGTACTTTCTGTTAAAATACACTTTAGAGATGTCAGAGCTCTATAGCAAAACCCAAAAGATTTCACTGTCCAGCTTTCAAGCCTGGAAGGAAATGAAAGAAACGACGCAACGATCCTTCTAGGTCGGCGTCTCGCTCCCGGTGAAGGGTGTGGGGTTTTTGTGAGAAGACCCTTGTCGTTCCTCATTCTCAGGGTTCTTCTCTTTGTCTGTTTGTTTGTTTCCAGCATCCTGTCCTGGACGAGCCCATCGCGGAGGCCGTCTGCATCATTGCAGACACGGACAAGTGGACGGTGCAAGTGGCCAGTAGCCAGAGGCGGATGATCGACAACAAGCTGGGGAAAGAGGTGTTGGTCTCGAGCCTGGTCTCCAACCTGCTTCATTCCACTCTGCAGCTTTACAAGCACAATCTGTCTCCAAACTTTGTAAGTGGGAACGACAATTGAGAGGGAGATGGGTTTTTTTTTATAGCATCCTTTCGCTTTGTAGGTTAAGGAGGGTGTAAAGTTCTGCCTAATTTGTCTGTTTCCCCAATTTCGGTAGCATCCCTTCCTTGGAGATTTTCAAGACCCGCCTGGATGCAGTCCTGAGTAACATGCTCTAGCTCTGGGCAATCCTGCTTCAGCAGGGGAGTTGGACTAGATGGTCTCTATTGTCCCTTCCAACTCTAAAATTCAGTGAAATTCAGTGAAATCCCCTGATGTAGCTTTTTGAGCTGTCCGTTTAAGCGCTGCTCCCTAATCAAGACGGTTCCCTCATTAATCCTGATTTAACGTGCAATCAAAGGCTTCTGCTCAAAAGTGAGAGTCTTGCCAGGGAAGAAGAATCTGCCGGTGTCTTGCTAATGGTTCCCCCGGGCAGGGGGTCTCCCGTGCAGCCCTGTCTCCTCCCTGACCCCTCTCCCTTTGCTTTCTAGTGTGTGATGCACCTGGAGGATCGGCTGCAGGAGCTGTATTTCAAGAGCAAGATGCTGTCCGAGTATCTCAAGGGCCAGATGAGAGTTCACGTCAAGGAGCTGGGCCTGGTGCTGGGGTACGATCTCCCCCTCCTCCCGCCGGGGCTGCCCTGGGGTGAAATGGGTCCCTACGTGGGGCTGGAAACATGGGGTGGCACAAAACCACCCGTGGCAGCAGGATTCTCCTCAGCCATGGCTAAATCCCACAGGATCCCCCAGCTTTTCTCTCTTCCCCGGGGCAGGAAGGTGGGCCCAGCACTCTGGAGCTGCTCAGGCTCTGTCCTTGGTTGGTCGGGGTCGTGGTTCAGATGTGTTTAACCGTGTCCTGATGGACCAGGAGAGTCTGTCACCACCAAACAATGTGGGCACCTGACTCCTCTGCACGGGCTTTACCCAACGTGGCAGAACCCCCCTCTGTGTCCTTGTAGGGCCCATTGTTCCCCCCTGGGGGTGTGGGGCACAGGAGGAGCTATTCCAGGGGTGTTTATAGGAAGGCTCGGGAGGGGGTGAGCTGCAGCCCAGTGCCAGCACTTCCTTGGGAGCTGCAGGAGGAGTTTAGCCTGGTCATGGAATCACAGAGTGGTTTGGGTTGGAAGGGACCTCAAAGCCACCCCCTGCCCTGGGCAGGGACACCTCCCACCAGCCCAGGTTGCTCCAAGCCCCCTCCAACCTGGCCTTGAACCCCTCCAGGGATGGGGCAGCCACAGCTTCTCTGGGCAACCTGGGCCAGGCTCTCACCACCCTCACACCAAACAAGTTCTTCCTAAATTCCTCTGCTCCTGCGCTTTGTCCCCCAACTATCGCTCCCTTTGAGGGCAGGAAGGAACCTGCTGGTTTTCCTCCCTCCATCCGCTTCCTCATGGCTTTTGGGAGAACCCCAAGGACCAGGGTGGTGGGGGCTGTAACACGGGGAGGGGATGCTGAGAACATCCCAGTGGCTGCAGTGTGTCACCTTGGGGGAGCAGAGAGGGCCATTGGGGTCACTTTGACTTGAGGAACCTTCTCCTCAGCCACTCAGAGGTGCATAAACTCCTGGCCCCGGCGCAAACGCTTGGGCTGGAGCGGTCGATGTGGCCACCAAGGCCCATCTACACTTTGCCTTCAATTAAACATGACTCTTCTGCTTCCTTCCAGGATTGAATCCAGCGACCTGCCCTTGCTGGCGGCGGTGGCCAGCACCCACTCTCCCTACGTTGCCCAGATACTGCTTTAAAATGCCAGAGGCCACAGACAGTGACTTTTTTTTTTTCTCCCCACCCCCCTCTGGAAACCGAGTGGGAAAACAACTTGTTCTGGCTCCTTTCTCTTTGAAGCAATTAAAACAAACTGCTCCTGGAGCTGCAGCACCTCCTTATATGACTGCAAACAGTTGGAGACTTTTCCTCTCCCGCTCACTCCTTTATATAAAAAGGATAAAGATAAAACTGAGTTAAGTCCGGGATCTCAACCACAGAAAAGCAAAGATTTCAGCAAAAGCTGAAGATCCGCATTTTTTACCAGTTTCTGCCCCAGTGGCTGACTCTAATTTATATTGGGAAATGCACACGGACGAACTGCTTTGAGAACTACCTGATGCTGGTGGCAATTAGAGACTTAACGAGGAGGCAGGGGCTTCCGAGCGGCCGCTGCCGCCCAGGAGCTCGTTAAGGGCTGTGCCATTCTCCAGCGGCGAGGATTTGTAAACAACTGCTCCTTTTTCACACCACACTCAACTCCTGGATGCTTCCCGGAGGAAGAACAGGGCTTGGGGCCGGGGGGGGGGAGGGTTTGTTTTGTAAAAAGCTTATTAATGATGCTCAGCTCCAAAATTTATTATTTATGGTCTTTCTCCTGGGGAGAGGGAGGGAGCAGCCGACAGACAGACAGACAGACCAGCCATGGAGATTCTCTTTCTGGGCCGGAGGTTGTAACCAGTATTAAATGTTTATAATGTTTCAATGTTGCTTTATACTAAGTGATGCTTTTCTTCCACAACCTAATCAAAATGTTAAGGAAAAAAAAAAAAGAAACACCA